AGTTGCAAAATCAAATTTTGGTCTGATCTTGTGCAAGAGACTTCCCAAGTTAATGGTTTTCAATGTCATTTTAGGTGGCCATAAAGCAAGTGTGTCTCCAAAAACAGCTCAAAAAGGAACAAATTGTCGATGAGCTCCTTGTCATGAGGGACAACAAGCATCCAAATATTGTTAACTATTTAGACAGGCAAGTAGTTTGGGTATGATCATGTGACTGTTCCTTTACAGACTGCAAGCCAAAGGTTAAAAGAACCCCCTTTGGTCTCTGGCAGAGAAGTCAGCTTTCTAGTATTATTTTTTATCTATTCCTATACAATGTATGGGAGGAGAGTGCATTTTGTCTGCATTCATCTTTTCTGGCATGCATTGTTTCAAGTCATCCCTATCTTCCTAAAACAACAGCCTGGAAGTTCATTACTACCAGGTTGGTTTTGCTGTTTGTTTGGGGAGTCTTTTTAAGTTGATCATATTTTCTGTCTCTTATGACAACTGCTGATTAATCGTCATAGAAATTATTTCCCTGCATTTTTCACTCCCTTGCCATCTGAGACATCTCAGTTTTCATGGATGTGCCTTTCTCACTTAGACTACACAGGTTCCAAGGAGTGTATAGCCTAGGAGGAATGTCTCTGCATTTTATTCCGTGTTCATTCCCGACTCTTCCAAGAACAGAAATCAACTTCAGTATTTAGGTAGGGTAATTTAGCTATGCCCATTCTCCATGCCATTGTTTTCTTCTTTCAGCTACCTGGTTAGAGATAAACTGTGGATAGTGATGGAATACCTAGACGGAGGCTCCTTAAGCGATGTTGTTAAGGAAATAAGCATGAGTGAAGGAATGATGGCAGCTGTCTCTCGAGAGGTAAGGGATGCCACTGGGGCTTCCATTGTTTGGGCAGGCTGGGACTTCTAAACAAGCAGCAAGAACAGGAGTGATTTCATGGTTAGAGCTTTGTTTCCGTGTTGCTTTTCCAATACGGAGAAGAAAGAGCATCTTCAGTGAATGGCCTGCCAGTACAACACTTGCTGTACCCTCTCTCTTTTTTCTTATTTTATTTACTATTCGCAACTTTGCCAAATCATTTGCCTGGAGCCTGTCTCTACTGCATTCCCTGCCTGTAAGTGCAAACATGCTGGTGGCAGAATTTTATACTAACAGCAGAGAAAAACAGAAACTCATTTGTCACAGTCCTCAGCTGAAAGGCAGAGCATTCCACCCAAAACAGTGTTTGCATCTGCAAAATTACTAAAATGCTACTTCCAAGTCTGCTCTTCCAGCTAGCAATAAGATCTTGGTCCTGCAGCCTCGCACCCAAAAGCAATCCACTTGATCCCCTCAGGAGAGGGAGTTTCTCTGTTTTCGCAAACCATGATTTACCCTCTGCATGGAGAGAGCCCACGCACTGCAGCAGCAGTCATTTTGTCTGTGTCTGCAGGGGTGCAGCATGACAACACTTGCCATTTCTCTTTCCAAACCTCCAAAGGGAATGTGCCTTCCCTTAGAAAGTTAGGGGTTTACTAGTGCGGAGGCAGCAGCAAGCTCTTCCTCTTGACACCACCATGGTCTGCCAGTCCTCACCGTTCACCTAGAACTGAAAACTTTAAAGCCATTGCCCTTCTTGGCTGAGGAAATTGGGTCATTCATTTTTACTCTCCTGTTTCTTTTTTCTCTCTCAGTGCCTGCAAGCACTGGCCTTCCTCCATTGCCACCAAGTGATCCACAGGGATCTCAAAGGCGATAACATTCTTCTTGGAATGGACGGATCCGTCAAGTTGGGTAGGTGTTCTTGCTCAGCCGTGCTGTTCCTGGGATGCGGCACGTGGGGCTGCTGGAGACTGCCTGCCAGTTCCCAAAAAGCAGTGCCTCTGAGAGTGCAGGGAGCACTGCTACAAGCTGAGAGCACACTTGCAACGTGCAGAGAGGAACAAGGTGTCCTTGGCTACAGCCCTGAGGAAACAGAGCATGGCCGCTTTTCCTGCTGGGTTCAGCCTCCTCAGGCTTCTAGTGGGCAATTCTTGCACTTGGCTTCATGATTCAGGCTGGCTTTCATGATACTGGCTTTTGTCCTCAGCTGATTTTGGTCTCGCTGCTCGCATCACACCTGAGCAGAGCAAACGAAGCTCAGTCGTCGGCACAGCTCACTGGATGGCCCCCGAATATCTAACTAAAGAAGAATACGGACCCAAAGTGGATATTTGGGCACTGGGCATCACAGTGATAGAAATGCTGGAAGGAGAACCTCCTTATTTTTGGGAGCTTCCTCACAGGGTAAGGTGCAAATACTACCAGATAACCACTGTCCTTCTCATCTGTCCCATGTTTTGCCTCCATTGAGAAAAATACCGTTCCCACCAGATTGAACTAGTTCAACCAAGGCCAAGGCAACAAAAAAAAGGCCCCAGAGCACATCCACATCCTCTATAGCTTTAGTTGCATCACTCTTGAAAATAACCTGTAAAGCCTGTAAAGTCCATCCTCAGAGAAGCAAAAGGGGCTTTTGCTGATGGAGTTCCTCCTCACTTGGTCAGCCAATGAAATCAGCTGTCAAGGCAAGATCATTTGGATGTTGGAAGACCTGTGGCTGCACTGGGGCCTTTTTCTTGGTATCGAAAAATCATTTTGAACCCTCTGCCCGGGAAGAAACTGCCACTGGAGGATGGAGCGTCAAAAATGGGGTCTGTGGGAGCAGTTAGGGAGATGAAAGAAAGAGGTAAAGTCCCGTGTTTCCTTTTCCTCCAGGCCATGCAGCTCATCATTTCAAAGGGGATACCGGAGCTGCAAAGCCGCGAGAAACTGTCCCCTGCATTGCAGGACTTTCTGAACTGCTGCTTGCAGGCAGACGAGGACAGTCGATGGTCTGCTGAGAAACTTCTGCAGGTAAAATGCAAAGTGGCTGCCAGTCACACAACTGTCCCATGCATCGGTGTTCTCGTCTGCTAAACTCCAAGGCATCAGGTGCCCCCGCCTCGTATTAATCCCCAGAAGTTCTCTGTCCTCTGATCATTTTGGTGGCCCTGATTTGGATCTAAGGGAGCCTGTTCAGTTTTGTCTGGTTCCTAATGCCAGGAACGGAGCCCTGAAATGGTGCTGGTGGTAGAGGAACCCAATAAAATCAGTGCCTGCCAAGTGGTCTGAGAACTTGGCTGTGGGAAGGACGGGGCTGGGGGGAGCTCTCCGTGAGCCCAAATCCTACTGGGATAAACATTTCTTGGTGACCTTGAGTTTCCTGAGGAGCAGCTTATGCTCCTCATCTTTTCTGACGACTAGAATAGCCCATGTCTTTAGGAAAGAAGAACCTAAGTAAGTATTTTGAGTTTCCTGAAAGGACCAAAGCCCTGGGACAGCAAGCAGCATTCCCACAGCCCTGGCAGGGCAAATATTCCACTGAGCTTGAGAAAGGGGTTAATAGGATCATGGGCAACATCTGCCTGTCATAACAAGGTCCTGGACATGAAGACAGAGGTGCGGATGGTCCCCTCAGTCCTGTTTCTGCACATTTCTGGTAACCCAAGGAATACTGCTTGAGCTCGTGAGGAACTGAGTTTGGAAAGTAATGGTTCATTTCTTTTCTTTTCCTTTGGGCAGCATCCATTTTTACTCTCAGCCTTGCCCCTCTCCGGCCTGACGACTGTGATCAATGCAGCAAACCAGCTGTGGGAGGCCAGAAGACAGAGGAAGGGTTTTGGCATGCCTTCCTCCAGTTCCATCGATGGGTGGAACTCAGAACAAAACTGAAGGAGCCTCATCCCCAGTGTATACCCTGGGGGAGTCACACAGAGGAGGGGGCGCTTAGGAGTCGATTAGGGCACAGGGCATCACCACCAGCAGGTGGTGAGCAACTGCATTGTACATTGCTTGTTTTGCTTGGGTTTCATCTCTTTCTTCGTTTTACTACTGTTACAATTAGGATTTGCATTAGTATTACTATTAGTGTTTGTATTAGTATTAGTATTAGTGTTAGTATTACTATTTGTATTCATATTGGATTTTACTCTGTTTCAATTATTAAACTGTTCTTATCTCAACATACGAGTTCTACTTCTGATTTTCCTCCCTGTTCCACTGGGGATGGGGATGGGGATGGGGGGGAGCAAGCGGCTGTGTGGTGCTTACTTACCAGCCCAGCTGGTAACTTAAACCACAACACTTCACCAGCACATGATTCTTCAATGAGTCCAACTACTCTGTCACCTTTTCTTCAAATGAGATTTACAATCTTGGTATCATAAAAATCACCATCAACACACCTGTGATTCATGTAATTCAGTATCCTCTCTTTCAGTTAGACATGTTAGACATAGCAGAGAGTTCAGAATAAGGTCCAGAAGTCTTTAAACACACATGATATATGTGCAGATAAAGGAAACATCTTCATTGTCTAGGTAATCAAAGCCAATTTATGCCATAAATTCTAAGGGGTTAGAATATTTTTTTAGTTTTCCTGAATGAAAACGTAGATGTTTTCCACCCACAAAACTTGTTTTCTTTCCCAACGTTCTTTACCCTGGTCTCTCAAAGGCTTGTGTTTCCATGGTTATGCACACACTGCACTGAGAAGTCCACTTACTATTTTTAAACTTGGTCCTTCTTAATTTCACTGTGGCCTCTAGCTGAAAACATGAAAGAGGTTAGAATAAATACTGGCATTCCATCCATGCTTTATTATTTAATCTATATACTTACCTCAACATTGAGTAGTACTGACTGCTGCGTGGTCAGTGGAATTTTTTTTTTCCGAGCCTTAGTAAGAAAAAAGACTGAGTAATAATTTTTTACTATGTAAATTTTTTTAAGTCTTTCTTGACTTTCATTGACCATTTCTTTTGCAAATTAGAGCTGATAGGCACTTTCACCAAGCCTGTCATGGAGTACCTAGTAATACAATATTATACAGGTACCTAGTGATACAATATTCTACTTCTGGATTTTCCATCCCATGTCCTAGCAACAGTATTGTTTTTTCCCAGTGTAGTCCTAAAGCTGGACTCACTCCACAAAGAAAACCACACCCTTTTTTGATGCTCCAGAGGCTGTAGACATGTGAATAAGTGCTACTTGACTGAAAAAACCAACCAACCAACCAACCAAAAAAAACCAGCCAAAACACTCATGCCCACTTCTGACACTGAACAGGGTCTTACACTTTCTGTGCATGAGTTTAGATCTTATTTTGAAGCTGAGTTCCTACAGCTGTTGTTTTCAGATTGGGACTGTGTCTCAATGATGCATTTCATTACCTTTTCATCAGTGGCACCTCCCAAGTAGGGGTTGATTCATCAATTACCAAGTGATCACATGGATTTTTTCTGGTTTTCTTTCTATTCATGAACATCAGTGAGATACACACACGAACTGAAACTACAGAAATTACATCATTCTGCCCACTGAAACAATTTACGCAATGTCAAAAGCAACAGTAGCTTTATTCCAGGACTAATTTCTAAACTCAGTATTGGCTTTTCTAACTGAAGACGATGTCAATCAGGACTATAACTATTATATGAAAACGTGAATTTATCTTGCAATCCTCTAAAAGACACACTTCCTGGAAAGAAAATACCTTCAAGTGTGATTCAGTTCCAAAAGAAGATTCACAGGTGGTAGACAAAAAGCTTTCCTAACTGGAAGAACTGTAAAGTTAGACTAGGCTCGCAGCCAAGATAGACACTTTCCATCTCAGGAATTACAATAAATAATAACATCTGTTACCTATGCAGCTACAGAAACAAAACTCACTCAGATCTGTTGCATCAAAAATTTATATGCCAAGCTTTAGGATCACTACCAAATACAATTGAGGTGTTTGATCACCCAGAAAGAGCCAGGATTGCTCCATAGATTAAAATACTAGAGTTTTTTTTAAAAGAGAACTTTACTGAAAGTAGTGTTATTACTATTTTTCTTCCAAAACATTAATTCTTCTTTTTTTGTGCAATATAAATGCATTATTACTAGTGATTTAAGCTATGGAAATGAAGAAGAAACAAGAGTTCCTCCATGCAGCCATAATTTCATTTTACAAAGTATAAGACAGGAGAGAAAAGAAGGAGCATCCTATCTTCTCCTACTACCTTCTTTGATGCTTTTTCTTTTCCCATTTTCTCCCTAGTACAACAGCAACTTCAACAGCAACATTAGCAAATGTTCTTTCAACCTTGGAGGTAGCATATCATCCACTGTTTAGTCAGTTCCCTAACTTCTTGTGTCAGGACACAACTAATCAGGATTTTACTCATTTTTAGCAGACCACATTGCTGTCTCATTTGTCTTCTCAACTAACCTCATTTGCCTACACTTTAATTCATTCTCTCTTTAGTATTGCAGCCTATTTCATATCCCATCTCCTCCAATCTCTCCCTAAACTCATCAAGGGGGACACCATTAGCATATCAAGACCTTAAGGAAGCACATTTTCTGTTGGTGCTTCCTGTCAGTAACAAGTGACCTTTGTTCCTGCTTTCAGTCTTTCTCCTATCTCTCCTTATGCCATACCACCCAAATTTTTAAGCCTTCCAAGTGCACAGTGTGGTGATCCCACCACTCAGTACTTTTCTGCGCAAAGAAGCTGCCTTTGGCACATCACTCCTCTAAATTTCAGTTGAATACCATTTTATTTAATTTTTCACTGACTTTTATTATTAGGGTGCTGAAAATACACCTTATTTCCTTTTTAAAGCATGCAGCCATAACCAAGTTGAACCACATACCCATGGCAAGTACAAAAGAGAAGACTTTTCCACTGGAGGCATTTGGGGACCTTCTCATCCTTCTCAAATGGTGGGGCCCAGCCCCTGACACCCCTGAAGCACCTGCACGGCCACCACCCACAGCTCTCTAAAATATCCAATGGCAGAGTCAGAGGAGGGAAAAGATCGTTTTATTCTGGACACCAGCTGGGGAGGCACAGGAGCCACAGCACTTCCAGCAGCAAACATGAAGCAGCATCTGGAACAACAGAGAAGTTGCGGTTCTGCAGAGGAGTCTGCAGAAAACCCACCACCACCTTCACCTGCACACATGCAGGTGAAGCCCAGACCAGCTGCCTTCTGAAAACACACTCAGCAGCCTTTCCCATCAGGCCTAAGCCTGCTCTTCCAGGCAGCCACCCCACCAGCATTTACTCGAGGCATGAGCCATCCAGAGACCGCTGAGCAGCCACACTTGGGTGGGACAGGAAGGCTGCAGCCAGCACGCCGAGACAGTGGACCTTTGCTGTCACCTCCTGCAGGAGCAGCTCCTCATCAGCTGTGCTAGGCAGGTTGGGCACCATACTCTTGTGGGAGTTGAGAACTTACTGAAGTGTACTGTAAGAAATTAAGGGCTTGTTAGCCACCATTCTGAGAAGTGTACTGTAAAAAATGTAAGGGTTTCTTGGCCAAGACCTTTTGAGTCTAACTCCTGGCCTGGTTGCCAGAGTTATGGTGATGGTACCATAAAGCACAGGAGCTCCCTGGCACAGGCCTGGTGTCTTTGTTCAGCCTGATGAGAATTTACAACATGTACTGTGTCCCTGATTGATGGGTTGTGACATCAGTAGTTTGGGTGGGTAAAACAGAACAGGGAAAAGTGAGAGTATTGGTAAGGAGAGATTAGAAAATACTCTTTTTTGCCTCTTCTTCAGCAAACTGGCTGGTTATGTCTCTCTCGCACTCTGCAGATTTAGCACAGGTATTATCGCGTTGGAGCTTTCATGTATTTGTCAAGATGCTCATGCCCACACAAGAGTGCTTTGTCAACTATTTGAAAAGGTTACAAAAGAATGTATTTGAAAAGTTTTATTTTACACCCTCAGTTTCAAAAACCTTTACACAATCTGCAGAAACCAAATCAAAGCAGTGAGTTGTAAGTTTCCTCTTCACGCACATCTGCAGACCTGTTTTTCATTGATTCACCTCTCCTGTGTCCAAAAGCAGGGCACTGCACATCCTCATCTGCCTCAGATTCTGAAGGAGTGAAAGGTCGATGTTGAATCAGTATCAGCCACTACAATGAGGAGAGTCACAACCATGACAGGGCATTCCCCGTTCTTTCCAATTCCCTCCACCTCGGTAACTGTGGAAACACTTTAAAGCCTCCAAGAACAAGGTGACAATTTCTGACCTGAAGGAGCGTGTCTGCAACAAGCTGTCTACTCTAGGAGCAGTGGAGCCAGCCCAGGTCAGGCAGGTGAGTTTCCATCCCGTATTTCAAGAGGGGACAGGTAAAGGGATTTGCTCATAGATACTGGTAGATCCCAGGGAGAAGCTGTTTCACCTCTCACAGCAAGGTACCAGCCACTCAGCTCATTCAAAATGGCTGCAGTTCAGCAACTGCATCAGGTATGAACTTATGGAGCTCCCCCTACACCTGCTTTCCAAAGCGTGTCTGCCTTTTAAAAGGAGTCCAAGGTCTTCTGAATATCAATAAGCAACAAGGTTCTCCAGAGGATCTTCTGCCTTGTTCAGATGACAAGAAGTGCTATCTGTTCCCCGTGGTTTTCAGGTTTTCCACAAGGGAGGGAGGCTTTTTGGTCCTGTAGGCAGCGGTGCCTGCGATCCGGGACCCTCGGATGGAACTGATGTAAGGCAAAAGGGGAGGCTCCCGCACCACCAACGCGGTGCCCTTGGGAGTATAAGCTCGGAGTAGCAATTCCTCTTCTGCATGAGCTGTCACTGCCACCCATCCTGCACAGCCAAAAGGAATACAGACAGTGAGACAAGTCCCCAGGATCAGAATGAGGGTTCTGACACAAACTACTGCCTCCCATAGTGGCTGAGAACCTGAGCTTACCTACGTGTGATTTCTTTGAGAAACCAAGCTCAAAGGTCATATCCAGCTCTTTCCGAATAGAAGGCAGCACCTAAAGCCACATCTTACTCGCCCTAGACATAGCTCTTTCCTGGTAAACTGAAGAAGGATGGTTGGAACTACCAAAAATGCAATAAAGCTTTCCTATCAATGGCCCTGGACAGCCAACAGTGTCACAGCCATTCCTAATGCTGTGGAACCTGTATGGCAGCCAGAACATAAAGCACTCCATTGTAGCTGTCCTGTACAAACATGGCTGTCAATCTCCATTCCTGGAGGTTGCCAAGCCTCAGCTGGACAAAGCCATGGCTGCTGTGATTTTGTGTTGTTGACAGTCCTGCTCTGAGCAGGAAATATAGCTTCACCTCTTCAGAGGTCTCTTCCCATCAATGTTTCTAGGATGTAGACTCTGCAAAGCAAACTAATGAAGAAATATTAAATTACCTGCAGAGGAAAGCTTGATATCTGCAACTGCCTCAGTGGTACCAATTCCTTTCAGTGTAATGTCCTGAGGGACAAGTGGGGGGAACTCTTTCATTCGCTCTTCCCCACCCATGGGAACCTAACATCAAAATACGGAGAAAAGATTTCATACTCAAGAAATCCTTCAGCACTCCTACCTTAAACTGGCAAGCAAGGCACAAGAGGGAATAAACATATGAGACATTTGTTAGCCAATTAAGAGCTGGCTTCAATAATCTACAGGAGCTATTTCAGGTTTGCCAGAACAGAATCAGGATCACATTCAGAGGAACCGCGTGGGAGGTGAGCAAAGATGGAGCGCCCACTGCAGGACACAGCTGGTGGCTCAGGCCAGCCACCTTGATGTGAGTGACAGCACTTGTTCTCCATGTGCACAAGAATGGGAATGCCAGGACAGGGACAGTTCACCCCATCTCCCAACAATCTGCAAGTGCTACACAGTACGTTGTCATACCAAGGAAGAAGTCAGACCACCGAAAGATGAAGAGGTGTGCAGAGGATCCAGCAGGGAAAGAATAAGAAAGGTACATTTTTCAACTGCAATCTGTGCTGAAACCCCAGTCTGAAGGTTTGCCATGGAAAATATCCCTATTGCTGCCTGCACTTAAAGCCAGTTCAAGAAGAGCCAAGTATCAGAGAGCAGACCACTGCACATCTTATCAGCCTGAATGCCAGAAACAGAAGCTCTCCTGAAAACACACCATCTCAAGTGCTCTCTCCTATCACACCTGCAGCCACGCAGTCTTTGCAAGTGCAGTGCTCCACACTGCACGTTTCCATTGCAGAAGTCCCAAACTCCTGATATGTGTGGATTTTCCCTGTCAGTTGTGCCCCAGACAGGACAGCTGCTTGCCTGCAGCCAAGAGCCCCCCACAGCATCTCCTCTCACCTTTAGTAACTCTCGGCCAGCGTGCTTCTCGTAGATGGCATCTGCGTTACTCAGGGTAGTGACGTGGACTGGCAACAGGTTAGAAGCCACGACAGAAAACCAGGCAGACTTTTCTCCCTGAAATAAATAAGCATCATGGCTGGGCTTCGCGAACGAAGATTTGGGGAGGGCTCTACCCACATTTGCTACAAGCGCGCTGGTGGCTAAAGAGGACAATACGAGATAGACAAGACCGGTTACAAAAGGCACAGCAGAAAGACTCCTAAGGTGGTAGAAATAAATAACAAGAGGATGTTAATTATGGTAACAGAAAAGCAGTCCTGAATTTCTCTCTCCTGCCCCGTTTCTTTCCTGCGTGTTAAAAACCTGTTTGCCTGATGTCCCCTCCCTGTCCGAGGGGTCCTTGCCTCTGCCACTGTGGAGCAGCCAGGGTTTATATCAACTGGGGAGTTGAGCTTTCAGGACAGAAGCACCCACAGCTTCACCATCCTGCCTCAAAGCACGCCCAATGCCCCATCTCCCACCATCACAGCTGCTCAGCTCAGGCAAATCATCCCAGAGAGATCTTTGCCTCTGAGCAGGGCATTACTATCTGTCCTGCCAAGCTGGTTTTTGGAACAGGGCTCTGGATTTTCACCTTAATTATGATGGAGCTATCCTGCCATACCAGTACATTATTACTTACAGAATCCTGCTCCCTCCACCTTTCTGGTTTTCTTTCAGCAGGTCAAGAATGTCCTTAGCAAAGTACCAATTCAACATTTCTATGGTGATCTTGGAAAGCTCACTGAAACACAGGAATAGCCATACACACCCCCAGAACAGGGCAAACTACTGAGAAAAGGTTCTAGCACTTATGATAACGCCTATGTAGAAGAAATATCATTGGAGGTCAGCTCCACACAGTTCAGTAAAGGTGTATGGTAGGGGATTTATAATAAATGGAAGAAATTATTGGCAGTGGGGATACACAGTACCTTTTAAAAATATCTTCATAGAAACTAAAATACATATGCAATTAATTACTTCCTCAGGCAAATTCTTCAGAAGTCTGTGTCAGGAAAGAAAAATGTCCATGCTTTTCTCTCCTGGTAGCCAGCTTTCACAAAACACAGAAATGAGGAAACCCGCTTATTTTCCCAGTTAATTCTGGCATTCCCAAGGCATTCTGATCTTATGCACTGATTTATTAACAGAGTCATCATCTCAAAGCAGCAAAAAAGGGTCTGGGAAAGTTACCCAAAAAGCCTTTCATGTCTAGTACTACAGTAAGAAATGAAGCAGCTGCTCCCAAAATCCTTTCTTCCCTTACCTGTAAGTAGTCTATACGTCCCAAGGCTGCTAAAAACAAGGTCGTTCCTGGCTTGAGAATGAAGGTCCGTGGAACAATGGCAACTGTTGGCAAAACCAGCTTTACTTCTTTCTCTGTTAGGAGATTCAAAACCTGCAAAATAAATTGTACTGCCACAATTCATTCCAGATGTTTCAATGGGGACAATGAAATTAGTTTTGGCACTATATTGATAGAGGAAAAGGACCAAGTAAAGCAGTGTAAAGAACGTCTGACAGAACAGTTCAATTCTTCCACATAGTAAGTGAGAAATAGAAGAGGTAAGGCTATCACCATTCTCCATGGCAATGCAGGGTCCATGTCAAAATGTAACAGCTGTAAGCAGCCTGCTGGGCATGAATGTGAGAATCCAGGGTTTGGCTGAAACAAGGTTACCCAAGATTTACTGTGTTTTAGCACAACTGCAGTCATGTGCAGAACTGGAGACCACCTTCAGCTATGACATTTGAGTAACCCCACTTAGATAGTGACACAAAGTGCCAAATCAATACTACTAGCAAAGCTAATCTCAAAGTATCTCACTAGAGAAAAAGTCCTGGATCACAGTGTGGAACGACTCAAACTGCAGGATGACCAGCCTAACTCACAGCATGGATCTGTACCCTGAGCACAGTGAAACAAGCTTTCCCATCTGTGAGGGTTCCCAAATGCTCCTGCTGCCCTGTCTTCCTCTCCTCCTCCTTTCTTTCCATCTCCTGGCTCACCTAGAGAGCTAAGTGCCACTGTAGAGTAAATTATGGTCTGGCACACAGCAGTCAAAAATCAGTAATTTTCTAGTCTTCATGAAAGCAGTACAGTTCTAGCACTTTGTTATCTTCAGAACTTTTCCATCTCCCTGTACTTTTTAATCTTCCCCAAAAGATGACCTGCAGCCCTGCATGGGCATCAAAGCAATCAAAAATCCAAAACTGTTTTGGACATGTGCACTCTATCAGCACTGACTTCAGTAGAGCCATTGCTCTACTGAAACGCTGATGTAAGCCAGACCTACTGGAGCCATTAACAGGAACAACATAGATTCTGTTAGCTTCAGGAGAATGCTTTCTCTAAGATTTGGTTCAGTCATACAACTCTGGTTATCATCCCAAGCTCCATCTTTTCAGTAGACTGGAAGAGCTCAAAAAATGCCAGCTTCATTGGATGATGCTGGTATAAACTTGCTTAGAGTGCTCTTGCTCATTTCCCCTCATTCAGAGATTACAGAAGATTGATGACACAGTCCTACAGCTCTTTGCAAAGCTGGCAGTATATACAATTCAGAAACGCAACATTACCACATGAAACCTTCTCAAGTAAGTGCAAACCATATCTTAACACAATTCCCAAACCAAAAGAATCCTAATCCCAGGACTGCAGCATAAATACTCTTCCACAGGCACAGCTAAAGAAGAACAGTCCTACCGAACCCTGTCATCCCGAAACAGCACCACAGAGTACCTACACAGTCTTCCTTTACAATTCCTGGAGTGTCGAAACACCACCGAGCATCCTTCACTTCATTGTGTGTGAACTCCTCCCTTTTCTCACGCTTCTTAGGGGAATGTTTGGGATCTTCATCCATGCTGTAGGAGAGCATGTCAGGATCAAATTCAACCACAGGGCTAGCTTTCTGCCGTTGAAATGTTCTTCCAACTCTTCCTGGATTAAAATGAAAGGTTTCCTGGTAATTATATTTATTAACTTGGCTTTCCCTCAATTGAACATCTGCCCCTTTCCTGGCTTAAAAGATGCATATCAGTAACATAAAGGTGATAAAGACACTATGTGACTAGAAATTTGTGCATTCAGAAGCCAAAATGATAAGAAATCCTTTCTATAATTCTTGTCTAGGATTCCTCAAGCCCCAAAATCTCAGCAGGGACCAGATCACAGACACTCCATTATTTCCGATTAACGGTAAAGCAAGCTGCCTTCTTTTTTCAGTGCCTCAGACTTCCAAACACAAAATTATTGCAAAAACAGAGCTATCTTCTGTAAACTCCCTCTTTTGGGCACATACTGAAGTGATGTAGAACCACCATGTCCTGCACCCCAAAACGTGACTATTTAAAAATTAAACTTGTTTTCTTCCTTTAGGAATGAGAGATGGCCCATAGTGCGATGTCCTTGTAAACTACTAAGTTGTCGGAATTTGCCAGCTCAGTTCATTGCATTGCAATGAGTGCATTGCACAGAGGAAACTTCTGCAAGGCTACTACAGCAGTTAACAAGTAAGTACCCAAATGAAGTGCTAATGATGCTGCTTTATGGAGGAGATACAGGTCTTGCTCCCATTACTCTAGGAGCAAACAGCAGCCAAAATAAATTAAAAGCAAGCTTGGAAATTTTTAACTACTTCTACAGATAACATGTTCTTCCAGTAATTAAACAGAAATGAGTTCTTATCAGTGTGGGAAGGAATTACTTGCAAACAGCTGGATTCTACAGCAAACTAAGGAGTTAACAATCCTTTGTGTAATGCAATATTACACAAAGAGTGTAATATTGAGTGGCAATACTGTTACTCAGGCAATACTCACCCACTAGGTAGCCTTGCTTTTTAAGGTGATTAAGGTGCTTTTTTTCTTCACTGCTTAACTCATCTTCTGTTTTTGTTGCCTCCTCTTTCAGCCTCTCCTGCCTTCGGAATATTCTGTCACACGTAGGATTAATAATAGGAAATTTCAACAGGTTCAGGGTTGTTCCTGGAAAAAAAAACCCAGAAGGTACCTTTGGGTCTCTTGACTAACTGGTACATTTAAGCTCTGACGAACAAGAAAAAAAAATTGCTTCTCCAACTTTTTGGTGAAACACAGGAACACAAAGTCAGAGGTTGAACTACAGCTGCTCCCATAAACTACCAGCTTCTAAAGTCAGGGCAGCAAAAAGGAGCCATCCACCGGCTTGAGACCTGCTCTCACCTTTAGTTTGGTGAAGGATCTCAAAGCCAAGTGGTGCTAAGACTGACAATACATCTCAGGTAAGTCTCACCTCCAGGCAGCTTGGTTTGGCCTATAGATGCTCACCAGTCCACCCCCTGGATTCTCTGAACTGGAGGACACCCCTAACTGATAGGAACAGGACAAGGCGTGTGGATCAGGCACCATCCCCACTGGCAAGGGAGCATGCAGGCCAGCTCTGGTTTACTGGGCCCCTTAGTGCTCCAGGATGTGCAGCACTCTCAGCACATGCCTCCCGCACCTGCTGCCCCAAGGAATGACAGAATCAACGAGGTTGGACAAAACCTCTGAGATTATCAAGTCCAATCTATGACTGAAAACCAACAAGTAACTAGTCCGTGGCTCTGAGTGCCACGTCCAGTCTTTCCTTGAACACCTCCAGGAACGGTGCCTCCACCACCACCCTGCGCAGCCCATTCTAATGTCTAATCACCCCTTCTGTGAAGAAATTCGTCCTGATGTCCAACCTAAACCTCCCCTGGCACAGCTTAATACTATGTCCTCTTGTCCCGTCACTGCTTGCCTGGGAGAAGAGACCAAGCCCCACCTGCCTACAACCTCTGTTCAGGTAGTTGTAGAGAGCGAGAAGGTCTCCCCCAAGCCTCCTCTTCTCCAAGTTAAGCAGCCCCAGCTCCCTCAGCCACTTCCCAGAGGTGACAATCTAAAGCACGGTGCAGCTCAGGAGCTCGCTGCCCACCACAGGGGTGCTCGGG